TTACATCACGTTTATGCAAAGAGTCAATGTTTGCAGTGTTGGCCCTTCTTTTTCAGGACCTCTGCAATTCAACTGGGCATGCTCTCAACTTCTGGGCCAAATCCTGACTGATAGCAACCCAGTCTGTCATAATCAATCTTGGAGTTTGTCAGAATTAGTGGGTTTTTGTTTGTTCACCTGCCTCTTGAGGATTGACCACAAGTTCTCAATTGGACTGAGGTCTGGGGAGTTCCCTGGCCATGGACCCAAAATGATTTGTTCCCTGAGCTACTTAGGTATCCCTTTGGCCTTATGGCACGGTGCTCCAGCGTGCTGGAAAATGCATTGTACTGAGGTCTGGGGAGTCCAGTGGACCCAAAATGATTTGTTCCCCGAGCCACTTAGTTATCACTTTTGCCTTATGGCACGGTGCTCCATCGTGCGGGAAAATGCATTGTTTCTTCACCAAACTGTTGTTGGATTGTTGGAAGAAGTTGCTGTTGGAGGGTTTTGGTACCATTCTTTATTCATGGCTGTGTTTTTGGGCAAAATTGTGAGTGAGCCCACTCCCTTGGATGAGAAGCAACCCCACACATGAATGGTCTCAGGATGCTTTGCTGTTGGCCTGACACAGGACTGATGGTAGCGCTCACCTTTTGTTCTCCAGACAAGACTTTTTCCAGATGCCCCAAACAATCGGAAACAGGCTTCATCCGAGAATATGACTTTGACCATCTCAGTATCTATACTTCATTTATGACTTCTAGAAAGTTAATAATTTGTTAGTTTCTGTGACATGATGACATGTTGACCACATGATTCTAGTTTAACTGTAGTCTGAAGCTGGTGACACCTCTCACCACAGTCTGGACTGGTTTGGCCAATCATGTGTTTATGCCGTGGGAAGGTGTTTACTTTGTGCTCTGTGGTAAAGAAAGTCAGTCTGCACTGAAAGCAGGTGGCAGCTTTGTGGTCGTCCACTTTTCTTTTCCACAGAAACACTTCTCTATTGTCAAAGCTGTTTCACAGTCGAGGTGTTAAGAACACTGAAACACTGCTACAGTTACAATAAAGATTATCACTTGATCTCTTCATAGTGCATCATGACAGATAATAATTTAATTGTGAATTGTACTGAATTAAACAAGTGCAGTTTATGTACCTGCAGTAATTTAATGTGTTTTATTCTCAGAGTGTGATTCAGCTGTGATCTACTCAGCAGTGAAAACTGAAGATGTCAGTTATGGACAAACAACCATCAGAACAAGGAGGCCCAGGTACAGCTGCTCTTTATCTTTGACTGTGGACAGAGTCAAGCTAGCTGCTCACCCTGTTTCCAGCCATCAAGCTAACCTAAGCTAACAAAAGTCCATCACAGCTCTTTACTAGATAAAAACTTACTTCACACTGGTAAACCTTTAACTGGGAGCATGTGTGAACCAGAGACGTGGAGATAGGAAAGGTTGATTGAACTAAAAAGCTTGTAATCACTGTAATCACAACCTTTCAGTAAGCCGCTGCTGCTGGGTGCTTTTTGCCACTTTTACTTCTTTATTGTTTAAACAGACATAACATTTTGCCCTCATACCTGTTTCTACATTAGTTATCAAGACTAATTTAACATGGTTAATATTGATTATCCTAGATGACAAAGTCAAAAACTTTCCCAGTAACACACATTAATAAATGCCTTCCTGTGTAAATGTAGTCCGTCAAAAAGACAACCGCCCCCTACTGTCTAAATGTTTATTGAACAAAAGATGCTGTTATATTGTAACTGTATCTGACACACCTGCACAAAATGTGTCAAAGTTCAATAAGTTATATTATTGTAACTGTGACGCGTTCACTGTCCTCGTTCTTTCACTTTGCTGTATATAAAGAACAGAGAGGCTCTGCTTTGTGCTTATATTCTCCTCCTGTGTGTTTGTGTGTGCAGAGTTTCTACCAGAGCCAAATGTCATCGACTCCTCACTGAAGTCGTCCACCAGTCCAACCACTGGGATCCAGCTGCTGCTCTCTAACTGGTCCACACAGCAGCTCAGACCTGACACATTCACTGTAAACACACTGGTTTATATTCTGTTTGTTCTCCTCATGAAGGAAACCTCACACAACCTCTGAGGCCAGAAAGTTCAAATGGAGAGTTTTTATTATTTTCTTTTATAAAGAAGCTGGAAAATGTAATAAAATTTTATTTATTTTTCATACTTAAGAACAAGTATTACCAAGACTTTCAGAGTAAAACAGATTAAAAAGCAGCTGAACACAGGTATCTTAGTTACTGTGCATGTCTGCTGTTCTCTCTGGAGTTATAAGGAACATCTACTTAAAGATGATGATGATGATGATGGTGACATCTGTCTCAAAACAAGTCTGAGCGAATCTGGAGACACAGACGATCATTTTCAGAAAGTTAATAAGTAAAGAAAGTTAAAAAAAAAAACTTCAGAAAAGTAGACCTGAAAGTCACCTGCTTATCAAACATTACAGACTTTGTCATAGTTATCATATTTAATTTTATGGACAGGACTAAATGCCTACACACCACCCTCAGCTATGTGGACAAGAAGCAAGGTAACTATGTGAGACTTGACTACAGTTCAGCGTTTAACACAATAGTGCCCTGCAGACTGTTCACAAAGCTGAGGGATCTGGGACTTAACAGCCGTCTGTGTGCATGGGTGTTGGACTTCCTCACTGGCAGAACTCAGGTGGTGAGGGTGGGCAGGTGCTTCTCCAACAGCATCACCATCAACACAGGAGCACCTCAGGGATGTGTCCTCTCGCCACTGCTCTACTCCCTCTACACTTCAGACTGTGTGGCCACCCATGGCTCCAACACCATTGTGAAGTTTGCTGACGACACAGTGGTGTTGGGTGCCATCTCCAACAACGATGAGGCGGCCTACATGGATGAAGTGAAGAATCTGGCATCGTGGTGCCAGGACAACCACCTCCAGCTGAACGTCAGCAAGACCAAGGAGCTGGTGGTGGACTTCAGAAGGGGTCAGCACAGAGACTACAAGCCCATTATCATCAATGGAGCTCCAGTGGAGAGGGTGCAGTCCTTCAAGTATCTTGGTGTCCACATCTCCTCAGACCTGACATGGTCTGCCCACATTCAGGTCCAGACCAAAAAGGCTAGGCAGCGCCTGTATCACCCGACAACTGAGGAAGTTCAGAGTGTCTCCAGTGCTCCTCAGGACTTTCTATACAGGCGCTGTGGAGAGCATCCTCACACAGAACATCACGTCCTGGTATGGAAACAGCTGTGTTAAGGACCAAAAAGCTCTTCAGAGAGTGATCTGTACAGCAGAACGATGCTACAGGAATGCTCTCCCCTCCCTACAGGACATTTACATCGGGAGATGCTGGACTAGAGCAACTCAGATATTGAAGGACCCGTCTCATCCCAGCAATAAACTGTTCCAGCTCGTGCAACAATCAGGCAGAAGGTTCTGCACCATTAGCACATTCTCATATCATCCTGATCCTTCCAGCTTCACTACAGCACATTGACTTTAACACCCACACAATGTACACAAGCTGTACATTTCAGGATTGTTTTATTTTATCTTTATTTATATAACTCAGCCACTTGCTGCACATAAAGTCCTCTTTGTATATACTCATTCTCTGTATATAAAGTTCTGACTCGTTTGTGCACAGTCGAAGAACGTATCAGGTCACATTTCACTGCGTGTTATATCTGTATAACCATGCACGTGACAAAGAGTCTTGAATCTTGAATAAAATAAAGCTCAGCAACAGCTTCACTGAGCTTCTTCTGCATCTACAGAATGGTTCATAAATCATCAAATAAAACACTGGGCATGCTCAGTGTTTCTGAAATTGAGATCTCCAATGAGTTTTTACAAACCACTGTGGAAACTCATGAGACTTTATGTGTATTGATGGATATTGTTTGTATTTGGAGGTGTTCTGTCAGCAGTCAGTGCTGACAGGGAATGTTTACACCAGAAATATCACAGTTTGATGGATAACAGGTGTGATGTCACCTGAAAGGAGATCATAGTTTAGGTTGATATTTTTATTTAAGTTATTACATTCTTATCCAACTGCCCTGTGATTAAACCGTACTCTGGTGCTGCCATCTACTGACATTAAAGTGCAGCAACAGGCTGTCTGCACCACTGATATGGAGCAAACTTCACAATAACAGACATAAACTTGCGGCTGCCTGCTTAACCACCACAATATGTGGTCATATTTTTCATTTAGTTAATGCAATATAGACTCACTGCCCACTTTATTAAGAACTCCTTGCTAGTATCAAGTTGAAATCCCATTTTTCCTTGAGAACTGCTTCATTTCTTCATGGCATGGATTCAAAAATATGCTGAAAACATTTCTCATTGGTCCAAATTGATATAATACCCAAAGTTGCTACAGATTTCCAGAACATCCCAAAGATGCTCTGTTGGATTGAGATCTGGTGACTGTGGACGTCGTCTGAGTGCCGTGAACTCATGTTAAGGAAAGCAGTTTGAAATAAGTGGCGTGTTATCCTCCTGGAAGCAGCCATGAGCAGGGCCCTATTTCAGGAAGCCGGTTTAGAAAACTCAGAGTGAAAAACGATACTCAGGGTTGAGTAACCCCGAACTGTCCAACTCGGAATATTCGGTTTCAGAAAGGCTGATAACAATTAGTTCAGTCAACGCGGAGTTGCTTTAACCCCAAGTTAAGCCGCGCACGAGGATACATAAAGCCCTGATTAGTGGAGCACAGATTAAGCGAGTCACCATGGAGACGGAGGGAAAGAAGGCGCGGTCAATGTATTTTACAGCGCTTGACGCCGAAATTCTGATGGCAGCATATGCCGATAACATGCAAATTTTGCAGAAAAAAGTAACACAGCCTCAGTTGCAAAAGACAGGGAGCATGCATGGCAAAAAATAGCCGACAGAGTCAATGCGTGAGTGTTAAATCTAGGGATTTCCACCCATTTAACACGTTATTTTATTATATTTTATTTTTTATTTTATACATTTTATTTTGTGATGTGATGTGAGCGCAGGTGCAACCCAACAGGCCCCAAACGTTCCTGGCAGCAAGTAAAAATGAAATATAAAAATATAAAAATACTTATTTTCCACCCTAATTTACGAATAAATTCTTTACAAATCCTACCATGTGGATTCATGGATTTTTTTTTCACATTCTGTCTCTCACAGTTGAAGTGTACCTCTGGTGCAAATTACTGACCTCTGTCATCATTTTAAGTGGGGGAACTTGCACAATCGGTGGCTGACTAAATACTTTTTTGCCCCACTGTAAATGTTTTTACTATTTGGGGAGATTTATGCAGAAGCACAGCGAATTGTCTGGAAGAGTAGTCTGAGGGCTGAAGGTCAGTGACTGGTGAGTTGTGCACTGAGGAGATGGCATTTTATTAAATGACAAATGAAGAATGGGACTGACTCTGCCATCTTACTGCGGACCAAAGGGCTCTGTGTTTTATGAGTGCTTTTTTTTTAAATGCAGCATACAGATAAGTCAGCAACACATTTAAATCTCAGAGCTCTTCAGGTTTGTTTTTGAAAAATCTATGTGTATGTAATCAATATTAAAACCATCTTTGTCAGGAGTTTGTTCACACTGTAAGTTGTCCAAACAATGCAGCCTGCTTACTCTGATTACCTGGATTCATATGTCTGGATCCAGGCATGCAGTCTGCTTACTGTAAACACCTTACCCGCACATAGTAGAAGAAAGGAGGGGAAGATATGAAGAACAAATGTTTGTGAAACATTATTTTAAAATTGTCAAGCAAAAAGTTCAATACAGAAAACTGGCTGAAAAAACCCTTAAACACTTTGAGACTGAAATCAGACAAATTCCGAAAACATTGGACAAAATGGATAGCGTATAAGACCAACTCAACCCCATAAGGCATGTACCCTTCTTTGTTGGGATGGCTTTTTGAATTCAAATTGCTTCTGTTTTTTTGCTTATCAGAGCTGGAAGCTGCATCTATCTTTCCTCCTGTTTGTGCTGTGGAATCAATAGTGACTTCAGACGCTGAAGTTCATGATTGCCTCACCTTCACTAGTTCTGTATGTGTGTAAACTCTACCATTAGGCAGTAATTCTACTTTGGATAAATAAGTGATTCTAACCTCAAGATATATTTGAAGTGTTTACTGACCTCAGCCTGAAAGAAGATGTCACACTCACTGTGATCGCGATCATGACACTTTGTCCACACAAACAGATGATGAAATGGATTTCTTGAATTCTTAAATTTTAAAGTTTTGGAGTTTATCAGCAGGTTTATCTTGACTCAATGCTTTGTTTAAGATGAAGTGGAAATAACTAATGCTAATGTCCCTCCTAAATTCCTCTGTGTGGTTGATGCTCATTAAGCATGACAAGCAACTCAATGTCTTATTTCCTTCCTTGCTTCCTTACTGTTTATATCTATATCTACAGTAGGGTCTTCATACATATAAAGCACCTCCAGGCAATGCTTGTTGGGATTTAGCATTATATGAATAAACATAATTGGA